GCCCATGACCTCCGTCTTCACTGGGTTTAGTTTCAATTGGCTCAGCCGGAGCCAACCAGCCACAGCTTCTAACGCCCGATGAAGGTCATCAGGGCTCGAGTCCGACCGGCCACCCAGCATCAGATAGAGCTGGGTGTCATCTGCATATTGATTAATATGGTCATGGTGTACATTAACATTGGAATTTATTATCTGCATATGGATGACACCCAAGCCCATAACTCCGGGCAATCTGGGCAAGGGGGCACATATAGATGTTAAATAGCATCGGGGACAGTACTGCTCCCTGGGGTACCCCACACTCAAGGGGATACCTATGGGATCGTCGGTCCCCAATGGCCACCCTTTGTCCCCGACCTTGGAGGAAAGAGGCAAACCATTGAAGAGCAAGCCCCTGAATCCCCACGTTGGCGAGGCGATGGGTCAGCAGCTGATAGTCGACCGTATCGAATGCGGCTGAAAGATCTAACAACAGCAATGCCGCCACACCACCTCGATCCAGGTGCTGTCGGAGATCATCAGTCAGGGCGACCAAGGCCGTCTCAGTCCCATGACCAGGGCGGAAACCGGACTGGAAGGGATCTAAGACTGAAGCATCCTCCAGAAAACTCTGTAGCTGTAGCGCCACCGCCCTCTCAATAAGTTTGCCCAAATAGGGCAAATTGGACACCGGCTGATAGTTGGCCAATTCGGCCGGGTCCAGAGTTGGTTTTTTCAGGAGAGGGCGGACCATCGCCTCCTTGAGCGCACTCGGGAACTGTCCCTCCGAGAGGGACATGTTGATAATCTCCCGCAGTGCACCTCGTAACCCCTCATGTCCCGCTTTAATGAGCCAGGAGGGGCACGGATCAAAGTCGCATGTGGTTGGGCGCACAGACACAAGTAATCTGTCCACTTCGTCCAGACTGAGCAGATTGAAACACTCTAAACCCGGTTCCGAAGACGCGATTGAACCTGGGACCTTCTGCAAGCCAAGCAGATGCTCCACCACTGAGCCACAGCGCCTCCCCCTGTGTTCTGCACTAGTAAGACAACTTTGAATCTCAAGCGCATACAGCCAATGACAGAGATATCGACATTGTCAGACTATCTGACAGGGGAAATTTTGACTCTTGAAAGTGCGTACCCTGACAACCTTCTTGGTCTCTAAGGTGCTACTGCACTCGAATCCGGCTCCTCTCCTACAGACCAACATGGCTACCCTCTGAAACTATCTTAAGACGGCATGTCACTTACTCATTGTGTGTGCGCAGCAATGCGTGAGTAAAGGGAAGAGGATCATCAAATGAGCTGGCACCGCCCACTTACCTAGGCACACTCACATAAATAGGGGAACAGTGTCGTGGGCATGCTAAGGGACACTGCTTTTCCAGCATTCCTAATTAGGAAGACAGCAGCCATGCGCATAAAGTTCTCCTCATGCACAGGTATTGTACCTAATGGCTCTGCTTCCTGTGGCAGCCATTTTCTGCAAGTGGCTCCACCTCCTATGGCAGCCATCTTGTGCATGTCGCTCCACCTCCTATGGCAGCCATCTTGTGCATGTGGCTCCACCTCCTATGGCAGCCATCTTGTGCACGTGGCTCCACCTCCCACTGCAGCCATTTTGAGGCTGCACCCAGCATCCTGTGTCAGGATTTCAAAGGTGCTCCACGGCTCTAAAAGCCTGGGGGCCTCTGGGCAACTGCAAGCGCAAGCGTCTAGTTTCAGAAGAAGGGGGACTTCATGGCCAAGGACAGCCTCTGCAGCACCCAGAGAGAAGCATGCAAGGCAAAGGTCCAGGATCGAAGCCATTCAGTTCAGCTGCGAATGCGCAAGGCGGCCCAAAATCAAAGTACCTCCGGTGCAAGATACTCCGGCGTGCCGCAGAAAGTCTTCATCGTCGCTCCGTCCTTGATCCCTTCTTTGCACAACCCGAAATCCGTTATCTTTATGTGCCCGTCTTTGTCCAGCATCAAGTTTTCCAACTTAAAAAATTAAAACAAAACAAAACAAAATTAAAATCACATTAAAGAAGGCGGCTCGTTGATTGATGGGACAATGCAGAAATCTCGAGCGTGTGCTTGCGCAGCTCTCCACACTCTCTTGGAATGCTCCCCCCCTTTCTCCCCTTGAAGTTATGCCTCCCTTCAAATTAACCAAATAGTCTCACCCCTTTGTGATGTGATCTGTTGAAGGGAATTGCTGCAGTCCTCAAAACGTCCACATGAACATATGAAGCTGCCTTATATTGAATCACACTACTGGTCTACCAAGGACGGCCTTGTCTCCTCTGACCGGCAGTGGCTCTTCCAGGCTTTCACGTCACCTACTACCTGGTCCTTTTAATGGAAGATGCTGGGGATTGAACCTGGGACCTTCTGCATGCCAAGCGGAGGCTCTTCCACTGAGCCACAGCCCCTTCCCAAATAGCTCAGGGCTGGCAGGCAGGCGAACACACAGGTATACAGGAAGCTGACTTATACTGAGTCAGCCCATCGGTCCATCAAGTTCAGTATTGTCCACTTAGACTGACAGTGGCTCTCCTGGGGGTCGATTGTCCACTTAGACTGACAGTGGCTCTCCCGGGAGTCAGGTAGAGGTCTTTCACATCACCTGCTACCTAATCCTTTCAACGGTAAGTACCGGGGAATTGAACCTGGGGCCTTTGGCATACCAGACAGATGCTCTACCACTGAGCCAAGGCCTTTCCTCAAGTTAAATAAGACAGAATTGGGTCGATCTAAGTATCCTCCAAGGAGCCTTTCTCCAGCTGAAGGAACCTTCCCCTTCTATTTAAGCAGTTCTGACACTCAAAAGAAAGTGCCTCTTCTCTCCCCAGCAGTTCAGCCCTTTGACAACGGCACGAAAAAGCCCACACGCACCAGCTCTGTTGATTGCAAGATATAAGCAGATTCCCACTAATTACAGATTTTGTCCCCATTCGGATGATTTGATTGAAACACTGGCATGTGCATTGTTTCACTGTAAATTTCACAGGCAAGCACATTTGCATTTATTAGAACCTATTAAGGGAAGGGGGGGATGTTTCATGGAGCAGAAAGTTGTAGAAATGTTACTGGCTGGAGTTAATCAGAGAGTTACTCTGCAAGTTGCCAAATTTCCCTCCACTGCCATAAGAATTTGGGTAGAGGTAAGTCCTAGCATACAAGTCGCATGTTAGTTTTAATTCTGTCGTACGTGTAAGTAAGACTGTACAATATAGGCGAGAGTGGTTTGTAGCGTGAACGCTCCACTGGTTTTATTGTATACACGGCTTGTGGACTGTAATGAAGACTGATTGGTAGCAAATTGCATTTGGGATGTATTTCTTAATTTAGTTCATTTGCAGTCCACATGTCCTGCTGAGACTGAAAGCAGATGATGAAGAATGGTATTCACTACCTCGGGCCAGATTTTGGCATAACTCAAGGTGGCGAAATGTCATCCAGTCCGTCCCCAAAAATAAATAAATAAAAATGTAGTTTTGGGCGGAAGAAGTCAGTGTTTTCACATCACCTAGAGCCTGTTTCCAATGGAGTGATTCTTCCCCCCCCCCTCCATATACACACACATTTTTGCATACTGAGTCACTCACACCAGTCCTGCGGAATGTTAATCAGATGGTCTTTCTATGAAAACAGGGAGGGTCTAAACCTCTCTGGGTACTTAGCAATGTTTACCCCCATCACTGTAGGGGGGGGGAACTCGTGAGGTATTATTTTAACCCCAATAAATTGCACTACAATAAATCCCATGTCAGGAGGATCGCCATTAATCCCTCCGCAGCCAAAACAACAAAGAGTCTTGTGACAATTCAAGACTAACAAATCCGTTTTCCCATAAGCATCCCCGAACCAGAATCCACTTCATCACAGGCATCTCTGGAAGTTGCTGTTAATACAGAGAGCTGACCAAAACACTATTATTCTTTGCAGGATCATAACAGAATTAACAACACAAACCTCACCGAAGGGATTTTAGAGAGAACCACGCTGGGGCTGGCTTCCGGAAACCCACCACCTCTGACATACCTTTAAGTCCCTATAGACCACGTTCTTTTCTGAATGTAGGTAGTCCAGCGCCGATACAATCTCGGCTCCGTAAAAGCGGGCCCGGTCTTCAGAAAAGACGCGCTCCCGCGATAGGTGGAAGAACAGCTGTAAAAGAGGCACCATTTGCTAGCTTCACATGATGCTGAGCATGGCAAATTTAAAAAAGTGAAAAGCCGGGGGGCTGACTCAAGTCCATATACTCTCCAGTACAGCTCTCTGTTGCCCACAGAGTATCTTCATCCCTTACCACAGTCTGTCCTAGGGCTCATTTTTGGTATACCAAAGTCTGGTTATACAAGCAGGTCTGCTAGGCTTTGCCATTCCTCTCCTTGAACTCAGAAGGCACACCGAGACCATGCTTTGGACTACGCTGATGACTCACTAAGCAATCTAGAGACACGGGTTTAGTTTCTATCCAGTTCTTTGTTAAATTTCCCCTCCCAGCTCCCTACTTTACAAATCATACACTAGAAAAGTGTGTGTGCTCCCCTGCCAGGGCCATGGCGTGCTGGAGATGCCCTCGGGCACTGGGAAGACCATCTCCCTGCTCTCTCTCATCGTGGCCTATCAGAAAGTGAGTATGCCCCGGGCTGTGGCACAAACTGGGAATCAGATCTCTTTTCCACAGGCTGAGGAGAGAGGCCTACAAGGAAACAGCGGTCTGTGTGAAGAAGACGCTAACACTGGTTCAGTAAAGACCAAAACATTGACACAATTCCAATCATGTAAGCACAGTCAAGTCCAATTTTAAAGTAGAAAAGTTTCCTCTTGTGATGAAGACGTATGAAGAATGATAAAACGGAGAATCCGGATATTAAGAACTCCGTTTCGAAGAACTTCCTCAGTAACTGAAACAATATATCTTCAGATAGGGACTCTGGGGCAAGGGATGCTCTGTATTCTTGGTGCTTGGGGGGGGGCAACAGTGGGAGGGCTTCTAATGTCCTGGCCCCACTGGTGGACCTCCTGATGGCACCTGGTATTTCTGGCCACTGTGTGATACGGAGTGTTGGACTGGATGGGCCTTTGGCCTGATCCAACATTGGCATCTCTTATGTTCTTATGTTCTTATGAGATCGGGCTATCCCCAACCTTCCAGACCAGGGCCTTTGAAAACGGGTGGTGGAGAGTGCCAAGTCACATCTGACTTATGCTGATCTTGTCGAGTGTTCAAGGCAAGAGACAGACAGAGGTGGTTCGCCGTTGCCTGCCTCTGCGTAGCAACCCTGGACTTCCTTGGTGGTCTCCCATCCAAGCACTAACCAGGGCCGACCCTGCTTAGCTTCCTAAACCTGATGAGATCAGGCTAGTCTGGGTCATCCAGGTTTGGGCAGAAAAGAATACCCTTCTCCAAAAACCTTTGCTGGCTTTTCATTAGCGTCTTTTGTTCCTTCCTGCTAACCCAGGCTATACCACGAAGGTCTTTGGAATTCCACGGTGCACGTCAATCTGTACACGAAGAGGGGGCCTCTAATGTCATATCCTCTCTTCCCTGCTTCCCTGTGTCTCTCTCAGTTTGCACTGGGAAGACAACAGTGTGTCATTTTGGAAGGACAGGAAGCCAGATTCCCTATCTTTTAAGCTGACTCACAATGCTCTGGGACAGAGGACAAACGTTCGCCTTTCCCTGGGTCAAACGCAAACCATCATCCTTCTTCCCACGTAATCCTGAACACGTTCCCCCTCCAAGTAAAAGGTTCTTAATTCACAATGGGCACACGCATGAGGACTGCAGCCGTGATTACACGTCGGAGACATTCACCTGTCTTTCTCATCAAAGGTTGCCTTAGATCAAGGCAGGCCACTAGGCTTGCCACGTATTGATTAGCAGTGGCCCTCCAGGGGTCCTGAGTCTTCCCTGGCCTTGCTACCTGATATCCTGTTAAACAGAGATGCCAGGGGATTGAACTAGGGACCCTCTGCGTGGGAAGCGTGTGTTCCGCCACCGAGGCCTGCTACGACACGCTCCGAGCGCTTGCAGGCCACTAAAATAGTACACGGAGGTCAAACGCCGAACACAGGAGAACATTTGACAGAGACGGACGTGACTCTTACCTCCCCTCCGTTGGCGTACTCCATGACGAAGCACAGCCGGTCATGCGTCTGAAAGGAATACTTTAAGGCCTGCAAAAGAAGACGGGTTTTTTAAAATAAGGTGTGTCGTTTTCTTTAAAACCAAGTTGTTGGGGTTCTTTTTAACCTATATCTAGACTGTATCAGTACAGTCGTTTTCAGCTGCTATTATTTCCACATTGCCCGCTAGAGAATTGGGTTCGAGCGACTTGTGGCTCAGCTGAAGCCACCCTCTGAATCTGCAACCCAAGCTGGAATTCGAACACAGTAGGTGAGCATAGAATACTAGAATCATAGAGGTGGAAGGGGCAATACAGGCCATCTAGTCCAACCCCCTGCCCAATGCAGGACCAGCCTAGAGCATCTCTGACAAATATTCATCCAGCCTCTTCTTGAAAGCTGCCAGTGAAGGGGAACTGATCACCTCCCTAGGCAGCCGATTCCACCTCTGAACCACTCTGACTGTGAAAAAGTTTTCCCTAATATCCAGCCGATACCTTTCTGCATGTAATTTAAACCCGTTGCTTTGGGTCCTCTCCTCTGCTGCCAACTGGAACAGCTCCTTGCCCTCCTCCAAATGACAGCCTTTCGGATATTTAAAGAGAGCAATCATGTCCCCCCTCAACCTCCTCTTCTCCAAACTAAACATTCCCAGGGCCCTTAGCCTTTCCTTGTAGGGCTCAGTCTCCAGACCCCTGATCATCCTCGTCGCTCTCTTCTGCGCCCTCTCGATTTTGTCCACATTCTTTTTGATCCTTCTATCCCAGGACAGTCTAGCTGTCCCCAGAGTAATCATCCACAATCTGCAGGGAAACAGTCCCCTAATGTATCATGTGTTACCGATCCCTATATGTCTTAAGGTACATTTTCTTGACCAATAAGAGAACAAAATGGACTTAATTCAGGTTTGGGTGTTTCTGTTAAAGGACAAGTTACTAAATGAAGATAAACCTTTTACCGCTCACCATATGCATTCAGTTAGGACCCGGGATAAGACGTGCAAAGGTGGCGATGTAGCAGCGATATTTTATTGTGGTTATGCATGATCTCGTTTCCAAGACAATGAGCCAAGAGAACGGAAGCGCGGCCCTGCGGGATCAGACCGAGGGTCCATCTAGTTCAGCAACCTATTTCTCACAGCAACCAGGGGCATGTAGTAAGCCAACCTACTTGGACTCTGCTTAACCTTTCCAGGCGTTTGAGATGTGACTGGCACGGCTGACAGTTTTCAACCATGAGGGCTATAACCTTGGCTTTTAAAGAGAACAACACACACAGACACACGAACAAAAGCTAGAGATTTTAAGATGTTCAGTTCTGCAATTATTAAAGTTCTCTGTATGCATGTTACAGTGGCAAACATGCAGAATACATCTGGCCCATACGTTAAAGGTTTTCTTATACCTACGTGTTTTAAAATGATTCCTATTAAAGGCAGTAAAAACTCAAATTTCAGATACCTCCTTGACCAAATACAGTACGTAGGCTTGGATCCAGCCAAGATGATGCCTCCCTTCTTTGGCAGCCCCAAACACACCCTGAAATGGTGTTCCTAGGGGATAGGGGACTCCCCCCACCCCGGGAATAGCCTGGGGCAAAATTAGGTCTCCCATGGGATGGGGGGATTGGCAAAAATCGCCCTTCCCTCTTTGTGCCTGCAGAAATCGAGGTGGGATCCAAGCTAGTGTTGGGACGCATCCTGAAATACGTCCTCGTGAGGCACATATAAATTTGCGAACATCCACCTGAATCATCTGGGTGAGCAAAGAATGATTCTCATAGTAGGAGAGAGACTGGATATTTATACCCTGCCCTTCACTACCCAAAAGAGTCTCAGAGCGGCTTACAATCCCTTTCCCTTCCCCTCCCCACTCTGTGAGGCAGGTGGGGCTGAGAGAGCTTTTTTGAGGACTGCTCTTGAGAGAACAGCTCTTTGAGAATTTGTGACTGACCCAAGGTCACACCAGCAGCTGCATGTGGAGGAGTGGGGAATCAAACCCGGTTCTCCCAGATTAGAGTCCGTGGTCCTAAACACTACACTAAACTGGCTCTCAGTACAGTTTGGTAAGTTTAACCTTTAAACACTTGCACTCGGGATCCTGATCCTTCCCTTACCACTATTTCCTAGCCTTCAATAGGGTCAAGGGCGAAACGACACACATAGGTGGCCCTTCACACATGATGAGAAAAACATACATAGGTTGCACTCTGGTACATGTTCCCAGGGGTCATTTCCTGCAGGAGCGCACAAGAGCGGAGCTCCGGCAGTAAAGAGCCCAGGGGGTGGGCACATGCAACAAGCCCCACCCCCCTGCTCCCAGCAGCCCTCAGTCAAAGCAAGAAGCAGCCAGGTAAGTTGCAGAGCCCCCCCGGTCCAAAGCAGCCCAGTGGCACCTTTAAGACCAAGTTTTATTCAGGTACAAGCTCTCCCTCCTCTGCGAGGACAGATCTGCATGTCCCCCCCCCCAATAGCTAGCAATCCAAAACAGTCCAGTGGCACCTGAGCGGTGGGTGTTGCCTTTTGACACACTTCCGATGATGTCAGGGGGTGTGGCATATGCAAATAAGTTATGCTAATGAGCTCCTGCACCTCTTTTTCTACGAAATGACCCCTGCATGTTCCAGAGAAACGTTTCATATGTTCCCCTCCCCACCCCAAATCCAAGAAAAATAGCTGCACAGAGCCGACGGTGTTGATCAACACAGGCACGGATGTACCGAGTTCCAAAGTTCAGACGCTAGCAAGGGGAAGGAGCTAGCCGCACACGAAAGAAGCTCTCAACACCATGCAAACTAAGGTGTGCATTTGCATATTTCCAGTCCGAAACAGAGTCTGAAATCCCCTGTTGAGTTTCGGATCGGCAATACCTGACCTGAAACTGAACAGGGAATTTCGGGCAGTTTTGGACCGGCAATATCCAAATGCACACCCGTGATGCCAACTTGTTGGGTTTAAAACTTGGTATTTAGCAGAGATAAAATAGCTTAGCAGTGCCAGAGTAAAATAATTCAGACTCAGAGTCCATGCGTGTTTAAAATAGAAAGTTTTTACTACATTCTAGCATAGGGAAGGGTAACTGGGATGAAAATAACAACGGAGCTAAATCTCCTACATCCTTACACTACAAAAGACAAGACTAGAAGAGGGATAATGGCTGCTCTTCTTTCTGCTTCAGAACTCCAAACAAAGACGGGAAGAGAAGCCATAAAATGCTAAAATACTTTGACACTTTACTTCCAATGAAACTCCTAGATCAGGGAGAATTTTCCCGGGCTTGTACTTCCAAAACAGCATTGGCTACATGAAACACATCTGACTTCCTGTGAGCAACACAAACAAACATTTAACCCCAGATATACTGAGTGTAATTTAACTTGTAATACCCAACACAACTTGAGCCTTAAAATTGGATCTGCCATTCGGGATGGGGGTACTAAGGGGGCACGGGAGCTAGGAGCAACGGGGGCTAGGATGACCGAGGGATGACTCGCATATCTGGGCACAGTGAGAGGGCGAGATCAGACACGGGGGTGGGTGTGTTCCAGTTCCTGAGATAAGGCCATTATGCTGGTCCACAGCTCAGACTAAAAAGATGGATATTTCTGAGATAATCTTATGACATTCAATGATTATTTTTGGCAGTCGCAAGTTGCTAGACCCCAGCAGACTGCTGGCGAAACGTGTCTATTCTATTTAAGCATCGTTATCCTCCCCCCACCTCAGTTCTTGCTGCTGCAACTCCTTGATGACAGCCGAGAAATCTCATCCCTGTGAACCTGCCCAGCCTCAGGTCACAAACACAGAACGTGCAAAGGGAAGCAGAGGGGGCGGACATCTCCCCCCCACTCATTTCCCGCCCCAAATGCCAGTGCCTCCTTGCGTCAGGCACATTCCGGCATCACGAGAACCAGCAGCTTGGTTCGACATGCCCTCAAGTTTTGTTTTGCTTGGGCTGCGGCCCAGAAGCTACAGCTGGGGTTTCAGAGCCAGACAAGGAGATGTGGCTTATGCTGCAGACGATAAAAATAAATAGAACCATAAATAATAATGCATTTTACCAGGCATCGCTGTCGTGAGATGCAACCAGATTGCTTTCTTTCAGCGAAGTCCGATTTGGAATCTACCTACTGCTGTCAAGTAATTTACTGATCACTATCTGTACAGGCCCTTTTAGTTACACTTCTGTTATCTTCTGAGAACTGTCTGTGTTTGGGGCAGTCTTAGCCAACAGGCAAAAGGCATGGCCGGACTGGGCCCACAGCTCCACCTCCTCCACGGAGGGGTGGAAGAAAAACAGCAGACTCCCTCTGCTGCCACTCACACCCGTCCCATCTGGGACTTGGGCTGCCTGCTTACAATGGCAACTGCTTACGCTCACCCTGTCCAGGGCTCAGGCAGCCAGCTAAAACGGCGCAAAGGCTGCCCATGCTGGGGCCCTGGAGGGAGGGCTGGTGTGTGGGGGGGGATCAGTGATTCTAGGGCTCAGTACTGGACTTTGGCCCAGGACCTCAGACTTACTAAGACCGCCCCTGCCCATGATACTTACTTCTTTTCACATCGACATGGCTTTTTTCTCAAGCCACTACAACTCCCACGTTACAGATGGGAAACCAAGCCAGTGAGCAGGAGGCCTCGCAGAGGCCAAGAGATCCGGCATTTGGTCCTAAGGTTCCCAAAATCCAAGTGCAACGCTGCAGCCCAGATGACTGCTAGTTTGTCTTTTATAAATTATACAGAGGTCCAAAGTGAGCTGGGTTCCTCTGTAACCATGGCCAGCTCAAGGCAAGGTCCTTCATTGTCCCCCCCACTGTGCTTAATACAAAGGAGCAAGGCACGTTTCACTACACAAAGCCCCTTGGGCCCGAAAAGCTGTAAACAGAGCTTTGAAGCCAGGTAATCTTGCAACTCACAATGGGTGGCCAGGAAGGTCAGTGAGGGTGTTCTTCTGTGTTCCCTAACCATCCTTACATCCTCACTAGACTCAAAGATCACTGTCAAATAGGAATCCACAAGCACCTTCAAGACTAATGTTTTATCAGGCGTATCTGATGATGTGAGTTAACTAAAGCTGATGCTGGAATAAGTCTGCTTAGTCCTTAAGGTTCGATAGGATTTCTCTCTGATTTTTCTACCACAGACTAACATGGCTACTCCTCTGGAATTATTAACATTATTAACATTATAAAGATCGTGACTAGGGAAGTGCAAAAAAAAAAAATCTGTATTTTTCGGGTTCAGGTATATTGAACCCCAAAAAATTGGTATTTTCTGACATTCCCAAATCCCAATTTGGAATTTGGATTTGGGGTTTCCAAAAAATCCTGAATTTTTCTGGCTCCATTATACCCTATGGGGACCAATATGACCAATGGGCCTCATAGGGTATAATGGAGAACTGATCCAGGGGTTTTTGGGGCGGGGGGGGCTGTTTGGTGTAGGGGGGAGCCAGTTTGGTGTAGTGGTTAAGTGTGTGGACTCTAATGTGGGAGAACAGGGTTTGAGTCCCCACTCCTCCACTTGCACCTGCTGATGTGTCCTTGGGTCAGTCACAAGCTCTGGCACAGCTGTCCTTGAAAAAGAGCAGTTTGTGTCAGAGTTCTCTCAGCCCCACCCACCTCACAGGGTGTCTGTTGTGGGAAGGGGAAGGGAAAGGAGTTTGTAAGCCACTCTGAGACTCCAAGTGAAGGGCGGGGTATAAATCCAATCTCTTCTTCTTCTTCTTTTTGAGGTAGGGGCACCAAACCTCCAAAAAAACCCCCAAGTTTCAAAAAGATTGGACCAGGGGGTCCAATTCTATGGGCCCCCAAAGAAGGTGCCCCCCTCCTCCATGGGTTCCAATGGGGGACAAGGCACTTTTCACTACGGGGTGACCTTGATGCAGGATGGTGCCATCTGCCCAACAGATGGCGCCTGCCCAAGCAACAGTGCCCCACAATGCACCCTTCCCAATGGCCTCCTAAGTGATGGAAGAGCAGCAACAAAGGTGAGTATGGGGCTCTGGATTCAGACTGGTTTCACTGAGCCCCTTTAATGCCTGTTATGTGACTCTGGTGTTAGCAAGTTAGTCAAGAGCCGACTACCCCTGGATAGCCTGGCAGTCCCCAGAGTAATCAGCCACAATCTACCAGGAAACATTCCCCTGATTTATTATGAGACGCAACCAGCAGATATGTACATAATGTCCTCATAGGCCATTAACAATCATGGTTTTCAGATACGGGTTTCTAAAATCAAAGGCACGGATTCAAAATAGGGGACCTGGAGTGGGGGAAGACGAGAACGACGACAACAACAGAGTTAGAACAGTGAGAGAGAGGAGACGGGCGGCTGTTTCATCAACGCTGGTCCAAGCACAGACTCTCTAGTACTGCTCGTACCAGTAATCAGGTGCTATTTCTCCCCCATCACATTCCACATGTTGACCGGAGAAAGAGAGATAAGAGAACAAAGCTCTCTCTTGTGGACCAGGCCGGCACAGCCACCGAACCTGCCAGCTGCTTAAACAAAGCCGCAAATTCAAGTCTGGCACATTCGGAAACACTTGCTGAGAACCGGGGACTTTCCGAAAGGTAACAATGGAGGGAGGGAGAGATCCGTTCGAGTCAGGGATGTCTCTGAAACTTGCGAGGTGTGTTGGTGAGCTTGGGAACACTCCATTAGAAAGGCATTTAAAAAGGGGGGGGGAAGACGTACACAGAGAAAGACGAGCAAGAGCCGAGTCCAGTAGATTTCCAGAGTATAAGTTTTCAAGAGCCAACGCTCCCTTTGTCAGATGCAGAGAAAGGCGGTGTACCTAAAAACCTAGTACACACTATAATCCCATTTTGCTATTGATATATTGCCGTGCCCCGCTGTAAACACATATCCAGACACAACATTCCCAATCTTCTTATTCAGGATGGACAAAAAGGAAATACTTCTATACACAGTGAGTGATTAAAATGTGGAATTCGCTGCTGGAGGATGTAGTGATGGCCAGAGGCATAGCTTTAAAAGGGGATCCGACAGCTTCCTGGAGAGAGATTTATCAGTGTCACTGTCTACTAGCCACAGTGATTACAGGGAGCCTCCACAGTCAGAGGCAATTCGCCTCTGAATCTCAATGCCCGGAGGCAACATCAAGGGAAGGTCTTGAACATAAGTAGAGCCCTGCTGGATCAGACCAGTGGCCCATCTAGTCCAGCATCCTGCCTCACACAATGGCCAACCAGTTCCCTTGGAGGGCCAACAACAGGGCACAGAAGCCGAGGCCTTCTCCAATAAGAACATAAGAAGAGCCCTGCTGGATCAGACCAGTGGTTCATCTAGTCCAGCATCCTGCCTCACACAGTGGCCAGCCAGTTCCTCTGGAGGGCCAACAACAGGGCATAGAGGCCGAGGCCTTCCCCTGATGGTGCCTCCTGGCTCTGGGAGTCAGAGGCTTAGTGCCTTGACCTCTCTGCCCTGTTGATGGACCTCCAGAGGAACTGGCTGGCCACTGTCTGAGACAGGATGCTGGACTAGATGGACCATTCATCTGATCCAGCAGGGCACTTCTGATGTTCTCAAAACTCTAACATCCCAATCCTCTTCCCCTGATGCCTGTCAATTCGTTCCCTCACTTCTTGTTTTAGTCAAACCACAGAGGCTATTATGTCCGACCCAGCGAACAACGGTTGGCATGCACCCTACAAAACCAGAACTGCATCCCTACTTTGACGCGTGCCTGGAAAGGCACAAGCCCAAGGCTTGAACTGACCCAATCCAGAGCAGGAGGAGACGCCGGCCCTTAAAATGCACTGGACAGAAGTCGGGCAGCTGAAGCCATGCTGGACTCTGGATTGTATCCTCTGAGTATTTTATTTTGTGAGCAACACCTTCCCTTCACATACACATTTCTTAAAAAAAATATGACATTAACTTTATTTATACCTTGCCTGTCTCCCCAAAGCAGCTTGCATCATTCTCCTCACCTCTACTTTTTCCTCACAACGACCCTGTGAGGTAGGTTAGGCCGAGTGTGCGCGACTGGCCTGTGGTGACCCAGCCAGCTTCTGCGACAGAGCAAGGAATTGAACCTGTGTGAATGTAGAGTCGTCAACCTCCTCCCAATCTCACACGTTTTTCTTAAGGAAGAACACATGAAAGAATATGTGTGTCCATAATTATGTGTCTTGATTGAATAATTTTATACAGACTTTACTTTAAATGCGTTCTTTAAGTGTTGAAATATTTAAATTTTTTGGTGTTCGCTATCTTGGGGACCCTGTTTGGGTGGAAAGGTGGCAGAGAAATGTTTTAAATAAATAAAATACTCACTGTTAAGAAAGGATGCCTAGAGTTCTGTAAAACCCGGTTTTCTGTCAGGGTATGTGCCACTTCATCCTGCGGTGAAACCCAACGAATAAACAATGGTTACACGGAGTATTTTTTTTAATTACGATTTTTACCTCACACAGAAGAGAAGAAGAAGAAGAGATTGGATTTATACCCCGCCCTTCACTACCCAAAGGTGTCTCAGAGCGGCTTACAGACTCCCTTCCCTTCCCTTCCCCTCCCCACAACAGACACCCTGTGAGGTGGGTTGGGCCTAGAGAACTCTGACACAAACTGCTCTTTTTCAAGGACAGCTGTGCCAGAGCTTGTGACTGACCCAAGGTCACATCAGCAGGTGCAAGTGGAGGAGTGGGGAATCAAACCCGGTTCTCCCAGATTAGAGTCCACGCACTTAACCACTACACCAAACTGGCTCTCACAGGACAGTAAATGTAACTGGAAACTAACGCCACCACCCATTCTCCCCCCCTTCCCTCTTCCCCAATATAGCCCACTGACAAGGGAAGGTGATCAGAGAAAAAGGGAGAGAGAAAGACAGAGCTGCACACAGAGGCAGCTGAGAGTATAAATGGAGAAGAAAGAGAGGGTGGGAGGTAACAAAATGGCTCCAACAAAAACGATATGCAAGATTTATAACTGTGGATACAACAGCAGTGGTAACGTCCCACCTGCCAATTCAGATCCTCCTTAGAGGAGAAGAAGAGTTGGTTTTTATACCCCGCTCTTCGCTACCCAAAGGAGTCTCAGAGCGGCTTACAATCTCCTTCCCTTTCTCTCCCCACAACAGGCACCTTGTGAAGTAGGTGGGGCTGAGAGAGAACTGTGACTGGCCCAAAGTCACCCAGCTGGCTTCATGTGGAGGAGGAATGGGGAATCAAATCCGGCTCTCCAGATTAGAAGAGCTGGTTTTTATACCCTGCTTTTCTCTACCTTTAAGGAGTCTCAAAGTGGCATTACAATCGCCTTCCCTTCCTCTCCCCACAACAGGCACCCTGTGAGGTAGGTGGAGCTGGGAGAGCTCTGAGAGAACTGTGACTGGCCCAAGGTCACCCAGCTGGCTTCATGTGGAGGAGGAGTGGGGAATCAAACCCAGCTCTCCAGATTAGAGTCCGCTGCTCTTAACCACTACACCAAGCTCTCTTTGTGCCCCTACCTGCAGAGGTTAGGGATGTGGAACTAGAGACAGGTCTTTTTCAGCGGAGGCACATGACCTTTGGAATGCTTGAGGCTGACTTGGCACCTACATTACTGTCTTTCAGGTGTCAGGGCAAAGAATATCTTCTTCCCCAGGCTTCTGAACTTTTTATGCACCTGGTTTTATGGTCTGCCTCTAGCTCTAGTGCCATTTTTATGGATATCACGTTAGGCGGCTGAATGTTGTTTTATGTTGTTTTTAATTTCCCAAGCTTGTCTTTTTCCGGCTTGTCTTTAAGATTTTATAGCATTGTTTAAATTCAGGGGTCCACAACCATTTAGAATTCTGACACAGGGTTGTGGGCGCAACCACAAAATGGCCACGGTGGGAGGTGGAGCCGAACACATACACCAGAATAACCAGCTGGGTGACCTTGGGTCAGTCACGGTTCTCTCAGAGTCAGAACTCTCTCAGCCCCACCTACCTCACAAGGAGACAGTTGGGGGGAAAGGAAGGGAAGGCAACTGTAAACCACTTTGAGAGTCCTTAAAGGTAGAGAAAAGTGGGGTATAATTTTTTAAATATGCTGGGAAAGAGCGGCCATGGAAACAACATTATTTTAATCGGCACTGCCAATTGGATCTCCAATGGCCAATCAGAAGCCCCGCTGGGCGCATCCCCTTTCTAAAAACACTTGACAGGCAACAAGAAGGGTGTTGGCAGGCGCCATGGCGCCCACAGGTCCCACACTGGGGACTGTTTTAACTCATCTTGAGGAGTTCTCTAGGAACACTGTTGCTTCCTTGTTTCATTTTATCCCTGCTCATCAGGTAGCTGCAATACCACCTCTGGCCACGGGCAAGGGAGGTGCTGAAGAGCAAGGCAGCCGCTCTCTTCTCTAGACTTGCTTCCCTTACCCTGAGAGGTGGCCTAGAAATGTTCTGTATACATAACTGCCTTTCCTGAAAATTTTGCAGAACAATATGAAGCCTTTCCTGAAAATTTTGCAGAACAGTATGAAGCCTTTCCTGAAAACTTTGCAGAACAGTATGAAGCCTTTAAAGGTCAAAGTACCTCTTCGCAGGAAAAACAGATCTCACGGACAGAAGGGATTTTTTTAAAAATAAAGATTGCTGCAAAAGAACCAAGCTAACAGGAAAAAGACTTTCAGGATGAGCCCACATGGAGTCTTGAACTCATGACCTTGGAAGCATCAGGCAGGGATTCAGTCCATGCATCACTCCAGTCTGAGCCACAGCAACAAACTGCAGGAAATCAGCCACACCATTAATGGAAGCCTCCTGGCACCAATCGGTCAGATTAGGTCAGGTGGTACTCCCTGTCAGTCAACCTAGCTTGCTGGCCTGAGCCACTAGAAGATACCGATCTTGCTGGCCATGTATTGCCTTGTTTCCTCTTTCCTGCTCCACCTCTTCTCACTCAACAAGAACTGAGGCCAATGGAGAAGAACCTGGAAAAGTCCTGTGTCCCACCTTTGCTACAATTACTTCCTTCTTCAGGATTTTCATAGCGTAATACCGTCCCGTCGCTTTCTCTTTCACCAGAATAACCTTCCCGAAGGTGCCTTTCCCCAGCAGCTTAAGATATTCGAATTCATTCATAGTCTGTTGAGGACAGGATTTAAGAGGGTTAGACGCTTGCAGGAAGGCTTCCGAAAACACATAAACAAAGGAATAGGACCAAGAGCTTGGAAAGATTCTGTGCTTTTACAGATCACGGCGGCAACCTTTCCAGCAGCCTCCCAGAATACACAACTGAAATAAAAGGATAAAAACTGCTCAGTCTTGCAGTACACCCAGAACAAAACTTTGTTGGTTTTAAAGGTGCCACTGGACTCAAACTTTGCTCTGCAGCTTCATGCCTCCTGCGGCTGAAAGAAGCAGGAAGAAACCCGGTCGACCCGGGCTCCCCCCCCCGACTTATATACGTGCACTCCAATTGGGAAAATCATGGCTATGCCCCAGCCCGCGGTCACTCTGTGAGCTCCGTGGCAAAGCAGAGATTTGGAGCTAGGTTTTCCCAACACTAGTTTGACAGTAATTAGCTCTCTGAAAACCACAATGGTAGCGCGTGGAGTCTTCAACCTAGCCTCTCCTGATATTAGACTTCAGTAAAGCTGCTAATAATGGAAATGGAGGGGGGGGGGACGTCTACCTTAACACAACACTTACCACTTTATGTTTTGGTTTTGTCATAGAAATTTCCATTTCTTCAGCACCTGAATTATCACTGGGGGAACCAGATCGAAAATCCATTATTTCTTCCTCCTGCTTCTTTAGGCTGTCTGCTACTGTTTGGATGGCTTTTGTCCATTCTTCCCTAAGAAAAAAAAAAACGAGGCAGCAACATGGCGTTAATAACAAACCAACAGATGAGGGGAGTGGCATGTCAACCCATCATCGGCCTTCCCACTCATGTTCTCAAGCAGCTTTTACAATATATACTATGTAAAACTGTAATAATGCAAGAAAATGGGGCACTCAATAACTGACACATTAGGATTTCAGAAGTCTGGAACCACCAGAAAGAACCGAAACATAGTTTATGATACATTAAGCGATAAAGAAATTACAAATAGGATCCCACTTATATAAGCTATACACAGTAGTATAGACCGCAGTTTTGGGGGGCAACAGTGGGAGGGCTTCTGGAGTTCTGGCCCCATTGGTGGCCCTCCTGATGGCACCTGGGCTTTGCCCACTGTGTGAACCAGGGTGTTGGATTGGAAGAAGAAGAAGAGATTGGATTTATACCCCACCCTTCACTTGGAGTCTCAGAACGGCTTACAAACTCCTTTCCCTTCCCCTCCCCACAACAGACACCCGGTGAGGTGGGTGGGGCTGAGAGAACTCTGACAGAAACTGCTCTTTTTCAAGGACAGCTGTGCCAGAGCTTGTGACTGACCCAAGGTCACATCAGCAGGTGCAAGTGGAGGAGTGGGGAATCAAAATCGGTTCTCCCAGATTAGAGTCCGCGCACTTAACCACTACACCAAACTGGCTCTCACCATTGGCCTGATCCAACATGGCTTCTCTTATGTTCTTAAGAACAGAGGTCCATGAGTGGCTCTTAGCCACAAGGTATAGTTGGGACGCTATATCTGGGGCCGTGATCCTCTGCCTTCTTGGTGCTGGGGGGGGGCAAGAGTGGGAGGGAGTCTGGAGTTCTGGCCTTGATAGTGGACCTCCTGATGGCACCTGGATTAGGGCCACTATGTGACACAAAGTGTTGGACTGGATGGGCCGTTGGCTTGATCCAGCATGGCTTCTCATGTTCTTAAGTTGCAGGAGACGGGGGTGGGAAACAGACCAGGGAAGCCAAGCATAGAAGAGATTTTTAAAAAATTCAACAACACTCCTAACCACTACACTGTACTGGCTTTCAGGGTGAGAGGTACAGGCAAGAGAGAATGGTTTAAAAGGTTTAGCCTGCCATGGGGTTTGCGGCGAAAACAAGGGGTCGAAGAGTAATTAATATATGGAATTCACTGCCACAGGAGGTGGTGGCAGCTACAAACATAAACACGTTCAAGAGTGGATTGGATAGACATATGGAGCAGAGGCCCATCAGTGGTTATTAGCCACAAGGTCTAGATGGAATACTCTGTCTGGGGCAGTGATGCTCTGTCTTCTTGGTGTTTGGGGGGACACAGTGGGAGGGCTTCTGAAGTTCTGGCCCTGCTGGTGGACCTCCTGATGGCACCTGGGGGATTTTTTGGCCTCTGTGTGACTGAGTGTTGGACTGGGTGGTGGGCCTGATCCAATATTACCTCTTATGTTCTTATATCATTTATCCAAGTAAGTTTGTGAACTGTTTTGTGCAGTGCAATCCTATTACCCATGCAGAAAAGCTCTCTTGAATAGTTCTGTTTTTGCACGGTTTGCAGAAATCTAGGAGAGTGGGAGTTTCCCTGACTTCCCCGGGCAGGCCTTTCCACAAGGCAGGGGTTGCAACGGAGACGGAGACTGCACGTGTACAGGCGCAGGAGACGGGGGTGGGAAACAGACCAGGGAAGCCAAGCATAGAAGAGATTTTTAAAAATTCAACAACACTCCTAACCACTACACTGTACTGGCTCTCAGGGTGAGAGGTACAGGCAAGAGAGAATGGTTTAAAAGGTTTAGCCTGCCATGGGGTTTGCGGCGAAAACAAGGGGCCGAAGAGTAATTAATATATGGAATTCACCGCCACAGGAAGTGGTGGCAGCTACAAGCATAAACACGTTCAAGAGGGGATTGGATAGACATATGGAGCAGAGGTCCATCAGTGGCTATTAGCCAAAAGGTCTAGATGGAATACTCTGTCTGGGGCAGTGATGCTCTGTCTTCTTGGTGCTTGAGGGAACACGGTGGGAGGGCTTCTGGCCCTGCTGGTGGACCTCCTGATGGCACCTGGGGTTTTTTTTGGCCTCTGTGTGACTGAGTGTTGAACTGGATGGTGGGCCTGATCCAATATGACCTCTTATGTTCTTATACCATTTATCCAAGTAAGTTTGTGAACTGTTTTGTACAGTGCAATCCTATTACCCATGCAGAAAAGCTCTCTTGAATAGTTCTGTTTTTGCACGGTTTGCAGAAATCTAGGAGTGTGGGAGCTTCCCTGACCTCGTGCAGGCCTTTCCACAAGGCAGGAGTTGCAACGGAGACGGAGACTGCACGTGTACAGGCAGTTGTTGATTCTGCCCATTTGCTCGTTGGCACCTGCAAAAGCCCCTGCTGAAATGGCCATGGGAGGCACTGTGAACTCTTTGCCCCCCCCTTTTGTTTTTGCATTTTTAAAATACGTGCATGTGCATGTGTGAGCACCTGGAAGTCATGGCAACCTCTGGTAACTGACCCCTACTGGGGGCCTGGAGGATATTCAGAGAGGTGGCTGAGTAAAGCCTGCCCCCACCTCCCGACTGCTAGTATTCCTTGGAGGTCTCCCATCCAAGTACTTGCCAGGGTCATCCCTGCTTAGCTTCTGACATCTGATGAGATCGGGCTTGCCTGGGCTATCCAAGACAGGGCCATTGCCCTTTTTTAAATTTAGTGTCTAGTTTTTCACTCTGTTTATCAGTGCATAAGTTTGTAGACCACTCTGAACCTCCATGACCGAAGGGAAAGAGATGGCATCATTAAAAAAAAATACAAATACGAAATGCAAATGCCAAGTACTGGGGCTGTAAAACGATTAGATGATAAAAATGACAAAGATCTGCTTATAATTTATTTATTCTGATAAACATTTAAACAGTAAGAACCTCCATAATGAGCTGGAGAGTCATTGGAAACCGAGTGGCTTTGTAGGGTCAGTCCCCCTTCCCCGTATCACAGGCTGTTTCTAATTACTGTTTAAACAGCTGCTTTTAAAAACAATATTTACACCCCTAACTAATACTAAACACAGGAGTGCTGAACCTCTGTCAGAGGAGTGGGAACCACCGTTGGAGGGGGGGGGACACACCCAATCACTCTTGCACCTGTCAAACACAGAACAAGGCCTCAGATATGGAGGCTGTGGAGGAAAAACACAGAAAGAGAAATTACCCAAAGTATGCAGGTCTCCTGGATACCGGAATCTTTAAAAGAGAATAACCTTGAGGGTTTGCTTTTTTAGTTTCTACCAGGGGAGCACAGCTATCGTATACCCTTGACCGAAGAATGGTACATTCCTCCCGTCTGGGATGGCTGTCCTCTTCCGGGATGCACATGGAGCAGTGAGGGAGGTAGGGGGCACCAGCCGGATCAGCCGAATCAACCCCAGCCATCAATGGGGTGACAGATATGGCAGCCAGATCAACCTCACATTTTAAATTATAGTCGTCTCTTCCTAAAGCATTGAATGTTTTTCGTTCTCGTGTACTTCAACCATGGTTATCTATATATCTAATAGCCAAGTTGCCCCCGGAGTGCGGATCGCTAAATCAGCGCTCCGGGGGCAGCTGGGGGGCTGGGGCAGGTTTGTGCACACGTGGGCCAGTCCCCACGTGTGCACAAAAATGCTAAAAGTTGAAAAAAATATTTACATTAGGTAAAAAGTAATAATTAAAAGAGCATTCCCTGCGCACGCGCAGAGAACGCTCTGGGAACTGGCGGGCCGGCGGCTGGAAGGCACTCAGGCCTCGCCGCCGGAGCCGGGGTGGGTTGGGGATAGGAGATCGGCCGGGCCCAAGACAGGGAGCAGGGGAGGAGATTGGGAGGCCCGAGTGGGACTCTTGAAGCTGAAACTGACTGAAACTCCTCACGGAGAGCAAACTTTGAGTCCAGTGGCACCTTTAAGACCAACGCGAGTTTACCCAAGGTAGGAGGTTTGGTCTGCCAGGCACACTTCTTGGCATCCAGGCACACGAAAGCGCACACCTTAAATAAACCCTTCTGTGGTCTGAAAGTCCATTCCACCGCTTCAGACCCACTCGGGAACTCTCCTCCGGGAGAAGGCAGGAGGCGTTTTTCATGTCTCTGCAGCGCTGGAAGGGTTAAGCCTGCGGAGCCTTTTGCCAGAGGGGCCACGCAAGGAGGGGGGCGGGAAGGAGGAGAGGCGCCTTTCCGGGGGGAGGGGAGAGGAGGGGGTTTGATAAAAATTATTAAAACTCAATAAAATAAAATAAAATAAAATAAAATAAAAGCCTATGTGCTGTGTAGATTTCCTTAAATAAAGAACGGAAAGGGGATAACCAGCCCCATCATCTGGAATCACTCCGAGCATTCCTAAAATATTTTAAATCCTAACTTGGAGACAGGCACATGGATTTCACACAGGTCGTACTGGCTACCAGATTTAATGCCCGTCCCAAACCTGAATGAGTGAATGATGCACCTAATCCCGGGCTTTTTGTCTGGGAAAAGAGGTGCCGAAACTCTCAAGAGGGAAATGAAGGAGAAACACATGGGGTTCTTTGCAACAATATCATAAACTCTTAAACATTTTTTTGAAAATGTTGTTTACATGAAGAGGTTCAGGAACTCCGTTCCACCACATTCCCCCAGAAAAAACAGCCCTGCATCTAGCCATGTGTGTGCACACATGGAGGGTTGGATCCAAGCTAAAAGTGTCTGCAGGCACAAGAGTTTCCACTCACAAAGTGCAATCCCCCCCCCCTTCCCTCCTGCAGCAGTCTGAAATTCCCTCCACCGAAATTGTGTTCTGGGGGCCAAAAGAGAGATTGGGGGTGCATTCCAGGCTTCCGCAGGAGGGAGGACGCGAGAACATCATGCTCCGTGGAGAGAAATATTCGCACCCCCGAAATCATCTAGCCTGGATCCGAGCCAGATCCAGCAGCGAGCTCCTTCTCCATCCTCTTCTCCGCCACATGCCTCCCACTGACATCCACAAAAGTGAACTTCATAGGAAATGAAACTCTAAAACCCACAACACCAGAGCAATTATTAAAAAAAAAAAGGAAAAGCAAGCTCCGAGAAGGCGGCTCGCACTAATAATGCTGAACATTTGCATCTGCTTTCGCAAGTTGCTTCTGCATTCAAGTCAGGAGAGAACATACCGCTCCTCTGGAGTCTCCACATGAAACGTTCTTTCAATTACTGTGGTCCACTGGAGGCATCTGATGATGAATGTGTTCGGTTTGGGTCGCTCCGTCTTCATCAACTGGCACTCTAGCACAGATCGAGGGAGGAAAGTCATGGTATGTAAGCAGGTTTAAATAATCATTTGTCTTTATTCTTATCCAGCAAACTGTGGCAATTAATCAGGCATGGAAATCTCGGGAAAGGAGCTCTTTCGGGAGAGCAGAGACCGACCAGGCTGGTGAACCCGATGCAGCAGCTTAGGAGAAGGGACCTTTTGTTTTAAATCTATGAGACTTTGGACACCTTCGTCCAATCAGGGACCAGGACAAAACATCACTGACGCTGCTCACCGTCCACAACTCACGAGCACAAGTAAATTAAAGGATGCGAGAGATCCACGGCTCGCTTCCTGGCTTAATTTGCAAACAAAACAAACAAAATCCCTTAGAATTTTGCATGTGGTCGAAATCCTGACCCTAAGCTGGAAAGATCATTCAAATGAGGCCAGGGAGGAAGATGTCTGTGCACCAAAGCTCTACTCCAGGGGTGTCAAACATAAGGCCCGGGGGCTGGAACCAGCCCTTCCAGGGCTCTCATGAGGCCTGCAAGCAACTACTAGTGCAATTGAGGGAACAGGAGACTGATCAGGGAGGAGTGGGCGGAGCCACTCTGATTGTGGCTCCAGCATGGTGGAACCACCTCGTCTGCAGCAGTCATGCAGCATGGGAGAGTCTGCCCAGCGCTGCACCACTGGCTCTCCAGTCCGCCCATATGGGTTTTCCTTTGCACCCCCTTCCCAGCCCAGAGGGCCTTGCAGTGAAGATACACCAACTCAGAACTTACCAGCTGCTGTCCTTTATACAGTTTATATCTCTGGTACTTGGCATTACGTTTTAAGGCAAACATGCCCCAGCCCGACAAAGTGGCATTTATGTCAGATCCGGCCCTCGTAAGAAATGAGTTTGACACCGTGGTTCTACTTCCCCAACCCAATCATTGGAAATCTTACAGACAACCCCCTTACCTGCCACCCTGGTGTCTGATATTTCTACAGGGACTTCTTCCACACACTTTCAAGCCTTCCTAGGCATTCACAAGGGTTAGAAACTTGCTCACCTTGCATCCACCGGAGCCTACATTTTTATATGGTATCCTCCATCCTATAGAACAGGATCCCTAAGGAGGTGGGGAGGTATCCTCCCTATTAGTTTCTAGGAGGTGCTGTAACGTAATTTTGTCTGTGAGAGATTTTGAGTGTAGTGGTTAAGTTTGGTGTAGCGGTTAAGTGTGCGGACTCTAATCTGGGAGAACCGGGTTTGATTCCCCACTCCTCCACTTGCACCTGGCTGGATGACCTTGGGCAAGCCGTAGTTCTGATAAGAGCTGTTCTTGAAAAAGAGCAGTTTCTGTCAAGAGCTCTCTCAGCCCCACCTACCTCACAGGGTGTTTGTTGTGGGGAGGGGAAGGGAAAGGAGTTTGTAAGCCGCTCTGAGACACCTTTGGGTAGTGAAGGGTGGGGTATAAATCCAATCTCTTCTTCTTCTTCTTTGATGGAGGGTAGACTGTCGTAGTCCTGACCTGGATAACCCAGGCTAGCCTGATCTCATCAGACCTTGGAAGCTAAGCAAGGTTAGTCCTGGTCAGTATTTGGATGGGAGACCACCAAGGAATACCAGGGTCACCATCAGTGGCAAGCAATGGCAAACCACCTCTGAATGTCTCTTGCCTTGAAAACCCTATGGCAGGGGTGTCGAACTCAATTATTACAAGGGCCAGATCTGACATAAATGTCACTTTGTCGAGCTGGACCCTGTGTGTCATAAAAAGTAACGCCAGATACTGGAGATATAAACTTTATAAGGACACAGGAAAACCCAATTTATTATTTTTTTTTAACTCAAAATACAAACAAAAGCAATTGATTCCTGGCAATGAAAGCAACTAATTTACTGGGGAGCCCACAAAAGCCCTAATAAATGTATTTAATCATATGCAAGATTAGTTTTTCTCAAAGGGGGAATACCTTACATTTCCATACATGCCAGTTGCTTTGGACGGGGTAAGAGCCCCGGACGGGCCATTCCCGGCCCCTGGACTTTATGTTCGACACTCCTTCCCTATGGGGTTGTCATAAGTCTGTTGTGACTTGACGGGGGTGGGTGGGAGAAGCTGCAGTCATCGGGGGGGAAGCCAAGGGGGTATGTTTTAATCTTGGATTTCTAAGCCACCTTGAGCCGAAAACAGAAAGGTAGGGTATAAATATTTTAAATAAATAAATAGAAATGGATGGACCAATGGACACCCTCTGTTCAAAGTATATTTCACACATTCAACTGGCATTTTTGGCTAAGTGTCCGAGCACACACTTTAGCCAGATATGTACAGAAGTACCTAATGAATGGTAATAGCTAGCGTAGACTTATTTCGATAAAATAGATGGACGAAGATATAATCCTTCGTTTCCCTCCTAGATTCGCAGTGCTCCGATTCCAGGTGCAAACTGAGAGGCTGACACCACCAGCGGCATCCAATGCTAAGCGAACGTGGAAGCGCACTAGCTACACTCTGTGGTTAGCACCACATGCCAAAACACAACAGGGCCTGCATCAGTACAGATGGTTTCTTGGGGGTATGACATGCATACCAATGACCTAGCCCTGTCACTGTCACATCCCACCACCTCTCAAACATGGGCTATGCTTCTATCTGGTTCCAGTGGTGGGAATGCTACGGCATCATAT